GGGGGACGCGGGGGGAGCAATTTGCGTGCGCAAGGGTGGTTGGGTGAGTGTGAACGCACGGGGAAACATGGCCGAGGAGGAAGAAGAGAAAGTAAGGGCGGTGCTAATAAGCCCAACATGGTGAAGGCCACAGCAATTGTGGTGTACGGGTTCTTTTTCTTTTCTTTTTCTTTTCTTTTTGTCTATGGATGTTTGGCAAAGTCGAGGAAAACAATTTTGTTCTTGGTGGCTCTTCGGAGGAGGCGTGAGCGCAGTGTTTTGGGGTGCGGGACGACTTTTCTCTTCCTTCTTGTTTTGGTGTGTGCGTGGGGCATATATATATATATATATATGTGTGTGTGTGTGTGTGTGTGTGGTTGGGGTGTAGTTGACCGAGTCGCCCAATTATCAGCGTAGTTGTTTGTTTTTATTTTCCCACAGTTGCAAGATGCGATTGCTTGCGGCGCTGCTGGCGTGCTTCGTAGTCGCCTGCCTTCCGGCGCCTCTCGCCTCCGCGAAGACGACGGTGCACCTTGTGGCGCACACGCATGACGACATGGGGTGGCTGAAGACGGTGGATGAGTACCAGTACGGCCTCAACAACACCATCCAAATGGCGAATGTGAATGGCATCATCTCCAGCGTCGTTGGCGGGCTGCTGCTGAACCCCAAGAGGAAGTTCACTTACGTCGAGATCGGTTTCTTTTCCAGGTGGTGGGCGTCACAGAGCGCAGCGACGCAGAGGATTGTGCGGGCGCTTGTCGCCGAGGGTCGGCTACAGTTCGCCAACGGCGGGTGGTGCATGCACGACGAGGCCAACGCGCACTTTGTCGACATGATCGATCAGACGACGATTGGCCACCGATGGCTGCGGCGGGAGCTGGGCGTTGTGCCCCGCGTGGGGTGGCAGATCGACCCGTTTGGCCACAGCGCCACCCAAGGGGCGATGCTGACGGCCCGCGTAGGGCATGTTGCAACGTTCTTTGCCCGACTGGACTACCGGGAATTTGACTACCGTGCAAGGACGGGGCAGCGACAGTTCTGGTGGCAGCCCAGCCCCTCAATGCCGGAGCTGCGAGCGTTCGCGGAGCTAAACCTCCACGAGACGTATTGCTCGCCAAGGTACTTTACGTGGGATGTTGTGGGTTACTTTCAAAATGC